CCAGCAGCGCTGCCGCCAGTCAGCAAGTGACCGAATGAGGCTGCCAGGGGAAAGAGCTGGCCTGCTCGCGCAGCCTGGCTGCACTGGCCTGGGCCCAGAAGCTTCCGGAAGGCCCCAGGATGCTGCCTTTGCTCTGCAGCTACTGGGCCTCATTCGGTTGGGCCTCCCAACTGTCAGTGTATGAGGTTGCGATTCACGCCCAGGGCCTGCATTCTTTGGAAAGGCCCGGTAGGCCTGAGTTTCTTTCAACCAACTGGCGCTCACAACTGCCTGGACCCCAAATATGAAATTGACAGTCAAAGGCCTCTTGTGATAAGTTAGGCCCGCCTTCACTTAGGGCGGGCACCACTGCAACCGGGGCCCCTTAGGCCTGCCGAGGACCCAGATCCTCGCAAAACGAAGTCCTATGCATTAAAAAAAACAGCAAAATATTTCCATTTTTTTTTTTTTTTTTAATTTCGTTGCACACTAGACCTTGGGGGCTGCTGCTCCATGTTTGTATTTTTTTTCTTAACCCATAAATCCCACAAACAATTTGTTCGCGGGTAGCCCTACATTAGAATAGAACACAGTTTTTGTACCGGTGTATGAGTTGTACGCCAGTACTTTTTTTTTTTTTTTTTTTGGGACGCGGGGCATGCCTATGCTGCAGCCGTGTTGATCCGCAAGTTAAACCACCACTACCTTCGATCCTGTTTTTGCTGAGCCTGAATTTCACTGCGCACCAAATTTTGCAGAGCCTGGGTCCCATTGTGTTTTCTTTTCTGGTACTCACGGCAGTTGCATTCCAAAAAGAAAAAGGAAAAGAAGAAGAAGAAGAAGAAAATAGAGACTTCCCTACGCCGTGATAGCATCAGATACATTCTATGAGGTGCTAGTGTGCCTGTGCCATCAGTGAGGGCGTCTGTCCGATGAACAACAAACGAATTAGAAGAAAAAAGAGCATCAGTTATGCTGTGATTGCGGTCAGATACACCATGCTACAGTACTAGCGTGAATATGCGGTGAGTGAGGCAGTCACCCCGTGTGGAATACACCCTGCCTTGCTAGCAACCACAAGAAAATGAAAAGAAGAAAAACAAAAACAAAAACAACAGCAATCACATTCCACACATAGTGGCAAAATACATTCCGCAAAGCACTGGAGTGACTTCCACCTCCATTAGGGTCTTCCCCGACGTCGCTGGATTCAAAGTTCTTAGTTTGTTTGTTTGTTTTTTCCCTCACCGCGGGCCCACAGGGTCACAATCTTTTGATTCTTTTCTTTCTTTTTTTTTCTTTCCTGCCGACCCTACACCGGACCCCAGAACTTTTCGGATGAGGTCGTTTTGCCAAATGGGACTGCAGATGTGAAAGGTAGTGGTGGTTTAAGAGATCTAAATTTGTCCCATACACTAATGTGGCCATGTGGAGGCTATGTGGCACACATGCAAAACTGTAGCTTGACCCATATGCTAAAAGACCACCAACCTGTAACAATGCAAATGCCAAGGCCTGGGATATCCCCTGCTTGTTCTTTTGCTTTGTCTGAAACAGAAAATGAAGTCTGGGCATTACTGTGCACATCTATGAAGTGCATCTAAAAAGTGATTGAAATAATAGAACCAAACAAGGATGGAATTTGGTTTCAGGAGCCGTGTCTTACCGCATAGGCCTTAATAATGTTGAAGAGAGCAGTTTGGCCTGCACCGCCTTCCTCCTGAAACATCTCATGCTGTGGGAATGTTCGATGAACATCCCTTACAATCTCTCTGCGACATCACATTCCACAATTTTGCTTTGAGAGCAACCAGGCATGACACAATTTACACTAGTCTCACACCGAATTGCACAGAAATGAAGCACACATGAGATATGAACTCAAAGCTGGTCTCTGCCAATCAGATTGAATACACAAATTTGTCTTTGCAGTGTTGCACAAGCTTGGCGGCTATGGCCACTAGCCAGTCCATGTCATACTCAGGGTCTGCTCTCTCTCTCTCTCTCTCTCTCTCTCTCTCTCGCTCTGATGTCCATCTCTCCCTCTCCTACTTGACCTAGGTACAGCTAGGGCACTGTGTGCCGATGACGACTTCCTGCAGTGGCTTACAACAAGACGCCCCAAAATAGTGCAGCAGCGCTTCTGCCCGTTCACGCAACTGAATAGCACACTTTGTGGAACAAACGATAAAAATACAAAAGGCAAACATGAAGAGCACATTGAGACCATTCATTTTTATCATTCTTCTTTCAACTCCCCCTTTCCTGTGCCTCTCCCGTACAAGGCTACGCAGGTTGATGAAGTTGAGTGCAAGCTGCCTGCATCCGCATGTGCCATAATGGCCCACTTTTTTCACTGTGAGAAAGAGGCAGAGTAAAGGGGAAGGGGATGGACACAGAGAAGAGCTGGAGAGAAGACAAAGCAAAGGATAGGGAAAGTAAGGAGTGAAGAATGAACATGCAAGCAAACGAAAGGATAAGAAAGGCTCAAGAATCAGTCTGTCCTTGACGACAGAGGACATGCATTGCAAGGATGAGGTGGATGAAGCATTCTCAGTACAACAATTGCCACCACGGCTGGCATTGAACATGCCCACCATACATTCCCGACAAATGGCATGTCCATTGCAGGCCAACATAAAGGAAGATTGGGCGCCACAAAAGACCATGCATTCAGTATAACGCTCATGGCCGTAAAATGGATATAGGGGACGCAGAGAATGACTACAGTCAGGAATGGAGGGATAGTCCTCTCCGCATGTGGATGCAGAAACCATGTCATTGTAGTGATTGTGACAGAGACAATGGCGGCTACAGCTGAGTGTAACAGTGTGTGTAGTTGTGCAAAGAAGGTCGCAGAGTGTTGGTATATTGTCCTGCCGAAGAACGGGGCAAGAGGAATGACCTTCGACATAAGAAATCAGTAACATCAGCGATGGCATGGACCATGATGCCGTCGTCCCACAACCCAGTGGTCACAAGCATGTACAATGACCATGTAATGGCCAGTCCGTATGTAATTATACCAGGGCAACAGGCTTGACCATTGCTGTCCTACAAGCAGCAATGAGGGACCACCAACTTGAACTACGCAGTGCTCAAGCACGCGAGTGGTTGAATCCTCCAGACGTGGGATGGAGGATTCAACCACTCGCGTGCTTGAGCATTGCGTAGTTCAAGTTGGTGGTCCTTCATTGCTGCTTGTAGGACAGCAATGGTCAAGCCTGTTTCCCTGGTATAATTACAATCCTTTGGCTGTAGGCGGGGAAGACCAGCATCAAGTTGAAGGGCAGTTGCAAGGAAGTCTGAAGACAAATAATAGTTGCAGTCAGACCACAGAGATTGGCAGGGATCTCAGGCTGGTGTGCCAGATGGTGGCCAACAATTTGCAGACCACCCATAAGGTGTTGCAATACCCAAAATGTTTTGGGCTGTTTACTGCCAGTCATTTGCAGATTACCCACGTCTGCACCTGGTCGGGCACAGATTTGCGGTTCATCCAACGATGCTGGTCAGCCATTTGCAGATCCCCCATGTGGTCTATGCTTTGTGGGGTTAACTGCAATCTGGGCAAATCATGTTCCAATCCCTTGACGTCTGGGGCCGCATCCTGCGTAAGGACTGTCCCTGGAATCGGGAGTGTATCCTGGGCGGGGACAGCATTCTGTTGTAGAGGTGCCTCGTGAATATCTAACGCTGAAGGGCATAAAACATGGTCCCATGGCTGCCTGCAGGCGGCTACTTTGTCTCAAGGGGGCATACGAGCAGAGACTCCCATTTGGAACAACGAAACCGCAATAAGAGAATCAGGGGAGACAATGAAACAGGCTGCTGATCTTCGGATAAGCAATGATGTGATACACGCTGTCGAAGATACACAATAAGAGTAGTGGTGTTGCAAACTGAAGATGAACATGTCTTTGGCAACGAAGGTGGAACAATGGGAACAATGGGAACCGGAGAGTCTGTTTGCAAGGGAGAATGTGGAGGAGATGGGGGTGGCAAGGAGGAACGCTGCCGTCTGCGGCCAACCACAGAAAGAGATGAGCGGGGGTTGGATTGGGCAAGATTTTGAAATAAAGGATGTGAGTGTCGCAGAGACTGTGATGCTCCTTGCACTGCAGCCGCGGCAGAGGAAGTTGTAGCAACAAAAACTACAGTATGGGGAATTCTGGCTCTGGAAACTGTTGTACTGAAAAGTGCAGCAGAGGAACCTTTAGTGGGAACTGGAGCACTGGAAACTGCAGTAGAAGAAACTGCAGCAGTAGAAACTGCAGTAGCATGAAATGAGCAAGCAGGGGCAAGACGAGAGCATTGTGGGGGCAAACAAGAAGTGGATGATACAGGGACCATCCAGTATGCATCGGAACCACTGAGAGAGACACAACACATGCATAGGATAGCGGCTTTGGTGCGAGTGCATGTAGCAGGTCCACCCCTCAGCAAGGGCCGGTGGGGAATTCCCACGAGAAAGCATGCGACAAGTGTGTGTTGTTGCCGCAGTTCAGAAGTCTCGCCAATTGTTACAGATTTGTTCAAACCTGGTGAATTGCTCGGTGAACGCACCAGCCGGTTGATGGGAAGGGATGTTGGAGGTCGCAGTTGGATAACGAATGATAGGGAAGTCCCACGCAGCCGCTTTATCAAACACGCTCATGCGAAGCGAACCATCAGAACGTACTCGTAGATGCATACCTAAAAAGGTACACGAGCCATCTGTCACTGTAGTTTCCTTCCACTCAAGGCCATAGTGCTCCAGTGGAGCAGGTAATTGCCCCCATGAAAGAACATCATCAATGAGGCAATAAGGGAAGACATATTGCTGAGCGGCTTGAAGATCATGCTGATGAATGTCATCAATAAAGCGCGCTTCATCCCAGTATAGTGTCAGATCACAATCTTCTGGGCCAGCATCTGTTCCCATTGGAATACAATAATTTGTTTCCAACTTCCAAGTGTGTCCTCTCTAATCTACCGAAAATTATTTTGTACAGCGTAACGAAGATGTTGGAGAATCTGAGAAACAGAAAGGGTGTCCAAGCCCGAATCAGTTGTCCATTGGCCACAACGAGGTCCTCGAACTACCATGTTCAGGGCATTGCAGCGTGAATGCGTGTGAGTATGCCGAAGGGCATAAGCATAGGCTTGATCAACAATTTTTGCCACATTATTCAGAATGCGTTCATGAGGAAGGTTGGTGTACACTGCGGCGAAGACAACAATGCGAGGAGATAAATGCCGACAACCTAAAAAACTGGACTTTTGTATTTGTCGCTTTGCTTCCGGACTTCCTCTATCGGTTATGCGTTGGAATACTTGCCACTGTTTGTTGCTTCAGGAAGTTCCCTGACTTTCCCGGGACTTTTGCTGCTGACTGGACCGACTGACAGACAAAGCCTATTGGCTTCTACCAACTTTCCCGAGTCTACCCGTCTCTACCAGAATCTACCTGTTTCAGCCTACTGGTACTAGAATCTATCTACGGCACGTGAATATGGCACATGGGACCAGGACTGGGACTGGAACTGGGACTTGAGAGCGGGGCAGCAACGGGGGCAAGGGCGGGTAGCGGTGAAATCCTTTCAATTGTTTGGGAGAGCAACACAAGTCTATCAGACGGTGAAAAACACAAACAAAAAGCATAGGAAGCTCAGAAACATCCCCTCGTCCCTCCTTAAAATCACTAAATGTCATGGCTTCCACAGATCCACACACTGGATGCCGAAAAGTTGTAAGGGATATGCAATTTTTTTATTGTTTTTTTGGATCGGGACCAACTCCCGATTGGTCCGGATACCATCCAGACTGCCTGGATGGTTGGGTCACCTGGTGTTCACACCATACACGACAAATCAGACCTAATTCAGGTCATTAGATCTTGTTTACCATTTCAATGGGCATGTGTGTCGTTACAGCTCAGCATTGACTACAGCATAAATGGTTGGATAACAATGGTCCATCTTCATACCGACGAGAGAGGGAGGAGTGAACACACCTTTCCAGATGGCAAGGTTGGGAGACCAGATCAGCATAATGTAACCTGGACATGACATCCTGCAGCAGAAATCAGTTCAGGTCACATACCAGCAAGACCACAGAGGGCCAGGTTGTCAATGCCAAATCAAGGCATGTGCATGTGCGTGCTCACACAGACACGCACAGACTCACACACACACACACACACACACACACACACACACACACACACACACACACACAGAGAGAGA